AGTGGGGAGGCAGAGCCGCCCGGCATCACCGCCCCTTCCTCCCTCCTCCTCCTCCTCCTCCTCCTCCTCTTCCTCCCTGCCTGCCCCACGGCCACGGGCAGAGCGGAGGACACATGTCCTTAGGGTGCCCCGTAGGTCTTTAGGGTGCCCTTGTGCACCCTGGGGTGCCCTGTGGTCCCCTCGGACAGCCCCGTGCACCCCAGGGTGCTCCATGGGACCTCAGGGTGCCCCATATGTCCTTAGGGTGCCCTCCGAGCCCTCTGGTTGCCCCATGCACCCCAGGGTGACCCACGGCCACTCAGGTGTCCCTAGATGCTCTGAGATGACCCATGCCCCCAGCTCCCCCGCCCCCCCCTTCCCCGGTTGTCCCATGGGCCCCCCAATTCCCCCAGACACCCTCAGGGTGCCCCATGTCCCCAGGGTGCCCTGTACAGCCTTGGATGCCCCAACAACCCTAGGTTGCCCCTTGTGCCTGGAGGTTGCTCCATGTGCCCCCCCATATACCTCCCAGGATGCCCATGTGCCCCTACATAGCCCCAGGTGGCCGCCTATGCCACCATATACCCCTAGGATACACCATATACCCCCAGGATACCCCATATGGTCCCACATACCCTCCAGATGCCCTCTATGGTCCCACATACCCCTGGATGCCCCATACTGCCCCAAACCCTCTCCTGCTCCCCCCCAGGGAAGTGGTGGGGTCTTGCCCAGGGAAGCAGCTGCCGCCAGGGCCTCTTTCTCACTCCCAATCCTGCACCCCAACTGCCCAGGGCCTGGTACCCCATGGCACAGCCAGCTGCAGCCAAGTGGGGAAACTGAGGCATGGGGGCACCTCTCAGCCAGAGGGTCACCCCCCCAGGGAGCCCCTTTCCCTTCCCAGGGAGGAACCGCACCGTCCACCTCCTCCAAAAAGCTGCACCGCAGCCGTCCCCGAGCCGCTCTCGAGCTTGCTCTGCCCATGGATTTTGCTGGAAAAAACCTTTATTTTCTGAGATTTATAAACCCCCAGAGGCCCTCGCACTGTGCCAGCGCGGCCCTGCAGCCGCCGAGGATGGGGACATCCACCAGCATCCCCCACCCTTGGCAGGACAGGGGAGCAAACCCCCACCACCGCTGCAGCCTTGTGGGATCCCCCCAAAAAACAGGGGCCTGTGCAAGCCTCCCCGCAACATCCCCCACCCCACGGGATGGGGTCAAGCACCTTCCAGGAGCCCTCTTTCATCCCCGTGGGGGAATCTGCGATGAGGAAGGTTTGGGGAGGGTGCCCATGTCTCGGGAAGCCGGACAAAGCCACCCTGAGTTTCTGATGCCCGGTTACACCCCGCAGCTGATCAGGATGCCTCCTCTGATCCTGATCCTGACCACCTATCCAACCGTGACTGCTGGGTGAAACCCTACGGGAGATAGAAGAAGAGAAGCAGGAAGGCCCCTCACCATGGCCTCCGCGCTGCCGCCAGCCCGTCACCCCAGCGTCATGGCGGGGAGGTGACCCCATCTCACCTGCTGCTGGCACGCCTTCAGCATAACGCCGGCGCTGAGCAAGCACCAGAGCTCTCCCAGCAGCGAGAGGAGGACGTGGAGGATGTCGGTCCAACGGCCAACAGTGAGGAGGAGGATGAAGAGGCCACCCATCCGTACCAGCACCGTCTGGTAAACCAGCCCCCCACTGGTGCCCTGCTGTGGCTCCTCTGCAAGGATGCGAAGTCGGGGTGGCCGCTGGGGAGGGTGACCCTGTCCCTTCCCCAGCCCCACAACCAGGGGACTCTGTGCATTGCAGGGACGCTACAGGGTGGCTTTGCATACAGCCCCAGGATGTCCCATACTGCCCCCTATACTGGCCCAGGACACCCCATACTGCCCCATATACCCTCTATACAGCCCCAAGATGCCCCATACAGCCCCTAGACCACCCCAGGATGTACTATATACCCCCTATACAGCCCCAGGATGCCCCACATATCCCCAGGATTGCCCCTACTGACCCATATACCCCCAGGATTGCTCCTACTGCCCCATATATGCCCAAGATGCCCCATACTGCCCATATAACCCCAGGATGCCCCATATAACCCCTATACACCCCCAGGATGCCCCCTGTGCGCCCACGTAGCCCCAGGATGCCTCATACTGGGACAGACTGCTCTCAGCCCTCCTTCCCCCCAAAAAAACCCCTGGGGGTTCGTTCCCCTTCTCACCTTGCATGTAGATGACCAGCAGCGTGTAGCAGATGGTGAGTGGCGTCCAGAAGCGGACAGCCTCCGCCGTGGAGAGGAAATCCCGGTTGATGAGCGCCACGGCAGACAGGTCAGCCACAGTGAAGATGATGGCCAAAGCGTTCTGGAGCAGCTGGGGGATGCCGTGACCGGCGGCAAGGAGGAGGATGCAGATGCCGCAGTAACGTGCTCGGCTGTGCAGCTCGTAGAGGGTGCAGACGTGACGAGCCAGGCGCCGGGCGTAGGTGGCCAGCAGCCCCGCCAGCCCCGCCGCCAGCGCCAGGTTGCAGGTCCCGTGGGGAGCCCCTTCTAGCAAGAAGCTGAGGCTGCAGGACACCCCGCAGCCCAGCGAGTACTGGCACAGCAGGTAGAGCTGGCTGCTGTGGGCGCCCTGTGAGAGCAGGACAGCACCGTCAGCTGCTGCAGAGGTTGCAAGCAGCCAGGGGATGCACGGCTGCAAAACGATGCATGGCTTCCTCCATGCTGCGGCCTCCCCGTAACCCCCATGGGTGTTGCAGGCAGCCAGGGGATGCACAGTTGCACAAACATGCATGTGCACAGGGCAAGGCATGGCTTTCTCCATGCCAGCCATCCTCATCCTCCCCGCTGAGGCTGCAAAGCAGCAGGGGAGGGATGCATAGGCTTCTCCATGCCACAGCTCTCATATGCCCCACGGGTGCTGCAGGCAGCAGGAGGATGCATTACTTCGGGCAGGCCACAGCCCTCATCCTCCCTGCAGAATTTGCAGTGCCATGCACGGTCTTCTCCGTGCCGTCTTCCCTGTCCTCCCCATGGGTGTTGCAAACAGCAGGGGGACGCACGGTTGCAGAGTGATGCATGGTTTTCTCCATGCCAGCCACCCCCGTACTCCCCGCGGAGCTTGCAGAGCGGCAAGGGGATGCGTTGCTGCAAAGTGATGCACGGTCTCCTCCATGCCACAGCCCCCATAGCTGTTGCAAATCTGCAAGGGGATGCACGGCTGCAGAGCAATCCCCTTGCACATCTGCAAGGGATGCTCAGTTTCACAGCTCCCTCCTCCCCGCCGTGCCTCAGTTTCCCCCATCCAGTCTCACCTTGCCGAGGGAGAGGATGGTGGAGACAGCACGCAGGGAGAACTCCAGCACCACCAGCGCGGCCACGCGGGACCCCACCAGTGCCAGCACCCCTGTCAGCACCACCACGCGCAGCGGCTCCAGCACCCACCGCTGTGTCCGGATCGCCTCCTTCTCTGCCTGCCTCTCCGGGTTGCTGGGGACAACGAGGGGGATGCTGAGCTGGGCAGGATGTCCCTGTCCTCCGCCACCCCAAAATGGGGTGACAGCCTCAGAGACCTCCCCTGTGCTTTGCAGAGGGGAGAGGAGGGCGCAGCCCCTGCCCTGCTTGGGCCACCGCCAGCACCCATGGGTGCTGAGAGCCACCCCCCTCCTGATAGCGGATCCCAAAAACAGATCCCAAAAGGGGCTCTCCAAAACAAACCCCCCGGGGGGAAGAAGGGCCGGTGCTTACTTCAGGCACTGGATGTAGAGATAAACCTTCAGGAGGCTGCAGAGCACCGAGATGGCGCAGGCACCCACCAACCCTGCAGGGAAAAGGCAGCAGTGGGTCACTGGTGTCCCCCAGGGTGTCCCCAAGCCGTCCCCACACCACCCCCAAGGGCTCTCACCTTGCAGGAGTGCATCCAGTAGCGCCCAGCCCCACGCCAGCCCGGGCAATGCCGGCAGCCAGGACCCCAGGGAAAACATTTTTGGTGGAGAGGAGCCACAGCGTAGCCAGGCCCCGGCTCCAAGGTCCACGGGGCGGAGGCTGGGAGCGGCCCTCCCGGCTAGTAAATCATTGTCAGGGCAAGCAAGGGCAGCTGGAGCCCTGGCCAGAGCAGATGAGCTCCAGCTGCCCCATGGAAGGGAAAATTAGGGTGGGGATTGGGATACAGTGATGGGACGCACATGGCGGGGCTTGGGGACCACCGGCATCTTTAACCCTCCCCCCCCCGCATTGCCGTTATCCTCTCCAGGCCGATGCAGCGCAGTGTTTCGGGTTCTGGCTTTGCAGGGCACAGCCCTCCCCCCTGCGTTTGCACCACCCCAAAGACCCCGAAATGACACCAAAAATAGAAAAACCCCTTTATTAACGGCCATGGCAGGGGCCGGAGCCCGTCCTACGGCCCTGGGGGCTGCTGGTGCTGCACCATCTTCCTGAGCTCATCCCAAAAGAAGAGGCTGAGGACGGTGTGGGGGCCGCGGCGGCGGTAGACGGCCCCGATGCCCTTGTACAAGCCTAGCAGCCCCTCTTTGCTGGAGATTTGCAGGACGCAATCCAAAAAGCCCCGGTAGAGCTTGCCCTGGGGAGAGAGGAGCTGGCTGCGCACCCTTGCCGGACACAATCCTGGGAAAAGCCATGTGCTCCCCCGCCATCTTTTGCCGAATGGCCTTACTGTGCCGTCGGCATCCACCGGCTGGTTGTAGAGACGGGTGCTGACCACGTCGAAGGGCGTCATCGTCACCGCCACGGCCACGCCGCTCACCATGCCCCCTGCCAGCACCGCGGCCCAGCTGCCCTCCCCGAACCACTGTGGGAAGCCCCAGCCATCAGCTCTTTCGCCAAAAATTGGGAAGTGGGGGGGACCAGCAGCAGCCGGATCTGGCGCACATTCCTCCTCACCTGGCGCTCACAGACCCAGTCCTTGGCAGAGGCGAAGGTGGCGAGCTGCGCGGCCGAGCCCACTGCCACGCGGGGCACGGCACCCGTCACCCCCCGCCACAGCCCCACCACCCCGTGCTGCTTGTAGATACTCTCAAAAGCCCCGGAGATGCTCTGGGGAAGAGAGGAAATTCGGGAAAAACAGGAATGGTTCATCCTACTCCAGCAAAATTTCCCACCCCCCAGCATGCAAAACCCCATTACTCAGCAGTGGCACAAAGCCACCATGGCTCCGGCTGGGTGACACCAGTTCCAAGGGGTGTCTGGATCCGGTGTCCCAGCTTCGTGTCCC